TCAGAACTAAGAGACAAATTAGCCGGTAGATGCTGCTGTCTTGATGGAGCTTTGCAGTTCTTTCCCAAACTTTGCAGGAAGTGTATAACCCAGGAAGATCCCAGTGTCAGGAAAGAGTTGTGAATATGGCCTTTTCATCCATTAAGGTTTTCTCAAGCCTCACCTTCACTGAATAGTCTTTGCTATCAATGTAATTTTCTTATGCATTTTTTCTTCTTGGAACTTTTAATAAGGTGGGCATTCAGTTATAGTTTTCATTTCTTGTTTTCTTATAGCATCTAGCACAATGTCAGGAATATGACAAATGTTTAATATTTGATGGGATCATATTTGTGCCAGTTTTTCTTCTCTCTTTCTCTTTGAATGAATGCTTGTTATGGTTTATATTTAGATGTCCCCCGAGGCCTCATGTGCTCATAGGTGGGGGTTTGAGCAGGCGACTGGATCTTGGGGGCATGATACTAGTCAGTGGATCCGTCCACTGATGAGTTTATAGCTAAATGTGGTCTGGGAGGTGATACCTGGTTGGAAGAGATAGGTCACTGGAGGTGTGGCCTGGAAAGGTATGTCCCCCTCCAGTCTCCCTTGATCCCTCTCTGCTTCCTCCCTGCCATTATAAACTGTTTCTTCTCTGGGATGCCCTTTCTTCTAGGCCACTCTGCCTTGGAACTGAAACCTCTATGAACTCTGAGCCAAAATACATCTCTCCTCCTTTAACTTGTGGATGTTGAATATTTTGTCCCCACAATGAGAAAGTAATTAAATAAAAGTAACTTTTTCTAGGTCTTCTAGGACCCCGATCCTTCCAACTCCCCATTATCCTTTCTGTCTTTGAACAGGGAGAAGCCATTGCAAAAGACCTGATCTTGGAATCAGAAATCTGAATTTGTGCCTCATCTCTGCTTTTTCAGCAACTGTGTGAACTTGGGCAAGTAGTTTAATCTGGCTGGGTCTTCATTTCATTATCTGTTAATTGAGATGGTTTATTAAATGATTTCTCATGCTGATTTTTTTTATGTACGCAGGACTGGCCTTGCCTCAGTTTCATAAGTACTGGGTTACAGATACCCACCAGCTTGCCCTGCACCTGATTTTAGTTTTAACACTTTAGATCTATGCTGTCCAATATGGTGGCTCTTAGTTACTTGGGCTTTGAGTACTTGGTGGCTACTCAGATTGACATGTGCTGCAAATATAAAATAAATACTGGATTTCACTAATACTTTTTATAATGGCAATATGTTATAGTATTTTGAATAGATTGGCTTAAATGAATTATTAGAATTAATTGCATTTGTTTCTTTTAATCTTATATTGCTGCTATCACAAAATGTAAAATTACATATGTGGTCCTGTGAACTCAACTGTGTCACCCCAAGCTCATGTTGAAGCCTCGATTCTGTGATGATTTTAGGAGGTGGCCTTTGGAAGGTAGTGAGGTTTAGATGAGATCATGAGGGTGGGGTCCAGATGGGATTAATGCCATTAATGGAAGAGAAACCAGCATTTTCTCTCTCCCTGCCATGTAAGGACACAGTGAGAAGTCAGCCACATAGAAGACAGGAAGAGGCCCTTTACCAGAACCCAACTATGCTCATACCCTGACCTTGAACTTCTAGTCTCCAAAACTATGAGAAGATAAATTTCTGTTGTTTAAGGCATCCATTCTATGATATCTTATCACGGCAGTATGAACTGGCTAACACACGTGGCTTGTATTATTTCCACTGGACAACATTGGTCTACATCTCAAGGAACACTTACATGCCAGCCTTTTGACATTTTTAACTTTTTACATAGTGTCTGGAGAGCAAGGATGACTTCTAGAGTATTCTCTGAAACATTCAGCCCAGCCTTTCTCCCTAGTAGCTGTCCAATATACACCTGATAAGGAAGTCATTTTCTTAGCTGTAAGTAACGCAAGCAGTGTCTGGATGATTTATGCTAAAGAGGAACTCATTAAGATGATACTGGGTGAGGAGTGGAATTGCTGCAGGACAGAAAAATCAAGCCTGGAGGATACACCGAGGGAGACAGCAATTCCCCAAAGTTCTCCGCAGACTAGTCTGGCAGACGTCCTACTGAGGCTTCTGAGAAGCAGAGTGGGCTGAGCACTGGCAGAATGGGGTGGGCATTCATTAGTGGGAGCCTCACTAGGCTCCAGTTGGGTCTGTTGGCTGAGTTTAAATTGAGAACTCTAGTTCAGGGAGGCTGGGAAGGCAAGGGTTGGCTTTTGAGCTTCTGCAGTGGGAAGTAGGCTCTTATCATGTGAGGGGGAGTCACTATGGTAACACGGTAGGGTCGTTAGAAGCTGGTTGCTGAAAGACAATGATGAGAGATGTTTACCATGGTAGCCTGAGACTTTTCATTTTTTTTAGTTATTTTTTATTGAGTTTATTGGTACATTTTAGGGATACAGTACAGTTACATTCATTATTGGGATCTTGTACCTTTACATGACAGGTCTTGGTTCTCATTTTTTTCCCCTTGTCCCTGTCCTCCCTTCACCCCCTCCTCCCCTCCCCATTTACAACTGAAACTTTTCATTTTGATTGCGACACAGAGGAAGTTTCACACCGAGGTTCCTCAGGTGAACATTGCTCCACACAGGACACTCCTCAAATCTCCTTGTGGTTCTTCTGGAAAGTATGAAGAATAATGGTTGATGCTACAGCCTTTGAAGTTTCTCATATGATATTTTAATATGGAGACACAGGAGGGCACTCTAAGCAACCAGCAATGAAAGTTGTATGGCTTCATAGCCTTGGTAATTAAAAATGGATGTTGATTTCATTGAACCTTTTGTTTGTTTTGTTCCAGGCAGGACAATCAACTTTGCAGGAATATATATCTACCCCAAAGTGTCTCACCTGTGACAAAGGTATCCAAGACACACCCACCATATTGTTTACTTAATGTTCTTGGGACAATAGTTGTGAAGAAATCAGAACAAGAAGATATTTTTGTTTGTTTGTTTGTTTTTGAGATGTTGTATTGGTTGCTGTATTGCTCAGGCTGCTGGAGCTTGTGCGTTCAAGTGATTTTTCTGCCTCAGCCTCCCTTATTGCTGGCCTTCACCGCCCAAGGGTGAGGAAGAAGGGGTTTTGATCACAAGTTAACCTGTCAGCCATTGGAGACATGGAGCCACTAGAGACATGGAGACAAAGTTGCAAAGGGCTTATATTTAGAGATTCATTGGCCAAATCAAGCCTAGAGGAGATGAGAAAGACTCTATTGTGAAACTTCCTTCAAATGCACACCCGGTCCCCACGACTGTTTTCCCATCTGTAGAATGGAGAGAACACCTGGCCCTGTCTGGATACTTTGCCAATGGAGAGGGACAGGTGATGGGAGTAACATGTCTGGGGGAGACATTACCCACCCCATAAGAAACATTAAAAAATTTTTTTTGTTGCTGTTGATTTTTAAAGCCAACTTGCCTCCAGTTAATGAATGATAGCCCCCGGGAAGGACAAAGCCTAGGGCAGGGCAGCTGGAGTAACAAAATGACGAGGGCAGGCAGAACAAGACCAACTCGCTCCGGGAGGGTTTCCTGATACCCACCGTTCAAGGTGCAGCGCGGACATTAAGGAGGAAGGGGTGCAGAGCTACCTTGGGGCTCCTTTCCCCTGACAGGGGCCAGACCGGTTCCTGGCAACCGCGGGGTTACTCACGATCAAGGGCGCCGCCTCACCGAGCCAGCTCTCCCGGCTGGCAGGAGGCGGACGGCTGGGCACAGCCCGGAGCTGCGGG